GGGCGGGGGAGCTCTACGGCCCAGTCCCTAACAGGCCACAGACTAGTACTTGTCCACGGCCCGGGGCTTGGGGAATGCAGTGATAGTGGACACACATGTTTTCAATCAATCAATGACTACTTCACAGGATTGTTGTAACGATTAAGTAACACATGGAAAACACTTAGCACAGAGCCTATGCACAGACTTCTCAATAAACAATAGTTATATTACAATATAACAATAGTCATTATGTAGGAACCATCTCTGTCCCCAATCCTGTGATCTTGTTCTATTGCTTGCATATCCCCAGTACCCAACAAGAATACTAAAGCCCACAAACATTGCTGAGCTGGTTTGCATTAGGAATAAATAGGTATAATAAATAAAGATGCCTTTTAAAATTATACACACACACACACACACACACACACATACACACACCCTTCATTACAACTACTGTAGAGGGGCATAGAGAAGTAGGATGTGGTTTCTGTCATAGCAGAACTTCAAAGCTAGCAGGGGAGACAAGACCAACACATAACTTTCCTGCCACCTTGAGTACTTCCTCCTCTTTTTATATAAATTCATGTTCACACTGTCTAAACCATGATAAAAAGCCTTCTTTTACCCTCCACGCCCCACAGACCCCAGTCATTTCATTATTTAATTTTACTCCAGATTGAGTCCACACATTCATGGGCTACGTCCATCTGTGACCGTTGCAGGTGGTGCTCTCTGCTCCACCGTGCACTTGTTCCTATAGGTTCTGCAGTGAGACTGGGAGAAGACTCTACTTCCTGAGTCTAGGACACAGTACGGGATGCCCAACAGAGGAGTTTGCACAAGAAATGTATGGGGCAGCTGACTCATTACTGGGAGCATAATTATCCGAGTCATGAGGAATCCACAAAAACCTCCCCTTCACCAGTAGTTTTACTTTTCTTCCCTGCCTACATATGACCCTCATCCAAGCTTCTACTCCAAGGTGTTAATGAGGATAATAACACACTAATTTGGGTGTTCTTTCTAGGCTGCTGTTAACAAACAAGTGGGCTGGCCAAGAGGAAGAGAAAAAGAAGCCAGCCCTTAAACTAAGGACAGGCACTTCAAAATGAAGATGTCCCTCTCCCTGCGACAGACATTCCATTCATGGCCAGAGGTCCCAGGCATCAGAAACCAGGTCCCTACCATCTTCTTCTTGGTGAACTCCATCACCATCTGGTCTGCCAGCTTCTCCTGAGCCAGAAGCTGTGCTTTCTGTTTCTGGTTTTCATCATTGATGCGCTTAATCTCAGCTTGCATCTTCAGTTTTCGCTGGTGCCTTTGTTCCAAATCCTGCCAGCAAAAGAAAGAGATCCTCAGATTAGGAGGAGGCGAGACAAATGCTACTGGCATCTAGGGATAGACACACACAGATGGAGCCAGGGAGACAAAAATGAATGCACGGCCTGCAGTGTAGCTTCCACCGCCGTCCTTTGCGGAGGCTGTTCTGTCGAAGGGCGTCAATGCCCTCTTCTGCGAAGTGGACTTTTTACAGCCTGCTTCCAACTTGACTCTGGGCAGCCCCTGATGCCGTTGATCTCTGTATACTTTCAGGAAGTGGGGCTCTGACAGTTCTGCACAGTGTGTCCCACATGTCAAGCTAAATCCTATCCCTGTAGCTCTGCTCACACCGCCTCCCTCGGCTTTCAATTTCCTTCTCCCATTTAAACCCAAACTTTCCATCTCCACTCAATAGTGATGATCAAAATAATAAATACTGCCCTAAGTGAGTACTTTCCAATTTGGGGCACACTCTACATAGCCTATCTCTAATACCCAAATATGTCCCCAAACCCTGAAAGGTAGGCCTTGTTATCTCTCTTGTTCAGATGAAGAAACAGAGGCCCAAAATTGAAGTGACTTGCCCACAGCCACACGGCAAATAAACTCCAGAGCCAGAATTTTGAAACCTTGTTCTGTCTAAATTAAAGTTTCAGTCTTCTCTGGAAATCTTACTTGTTTGCTCCAACTTTCAGGTCTCTCTCCATTTCTGAAATCCCTCTGCACCCTCTGGTGGTGCCATAACTCTTGGGAGGTGGTCATGCATGTGTCTCTGTGAGTGGTGGAGATCAAAGTACCAATGGGACCCTGAGCAACAAGATCTTTCTAAGGAAGGAGTCCCTGCCTCTCCCAGCCCCTGGCCTTCAGAAGCTCACAATGTTCAGCCCACTTCTAAGCCCGAGCACATCCTCAGGTCACGATGCAGAGGGGCAACAGAATCTTGTGCAGCTGGCCCCCCAGTCGCCTCCCATCCACCCTGGACTCCTTGCTTCAAACCCATCATCTCACCCCACCTCCCACGCTGCTTCTAGCTCCTTCCATTTCTTCAAAGACTAAATCCCTCCCTGGCCTTCCAGCTCCTCCTCAGCTGGCTTCTGCCCTGATCATCCAGCCAAGGTGACTCTGCCTGTGTGTCATCCTCTAGGGCTGGCTCTCCACCAGGTTGGCTCACTGCCCAGTTCAGAGCTCCTTCCTCCAGGAAGCCTCGGAACCAGACAGCACAGCAGCTGCCCGCCTCCCAGGTCCATGTGCTGTGAGTTGCAGGCTTAGCTTTCTCTCACTCTCACCATGCCTACTTCTCTGCTCACTCCACCTTTCCTGTCTGCCCCTCCAACTCTCACACTCCCTCCCCTCTTTTCCCTTTCTTCCTTTCCTCTCTAACTTCTTCACACTGGTTTTAGGCCTGCCCCTGGTACCCCAGGCATCATTCAGTCCCACTGACCCTCAAAGCTAAAGAAGCTGCAGACCTCTGATCCATGGCACATGTACAAACATGTATTTATTTACTTACTTCTTTGCCTATTTACGTCCTTTCTGGTTTTTTGTTTTTGTGGGTTCATTTCCAAGAAACCAAAGGACTTTCTCTGTCTCTCATCTTTGAAGCCCTTCCAAAGCAACCCCAGAGAAACTCCCTTCAGTCTTCTCCATCTTGCCAGCAAGGTGGGAAAATCTGCCCTTCACACACCCCGAGATGGTAAGGCAGGTCGAAAGCTGGGGAGGCACAGGTTTCCACCCTAAAATTGCCAAATAATACTTCCTGGAGACTCAGGGAGTGCCTATTAGAAGGACATTGAAGGGACAGTGACACAACATCAGTGTAATGGTGTTGACTCACTGACTCCTGGGGCCTCTTGATGAGCCCACCAGTTGCCACTCCCCATGATCTAGTGGGATTTTCCAGTCTTCACTTCTCACCCCCTACCCTGAGTATTTGCCCTATGCCTCTCCTTCCTGGCCCGTTCCCACTCTTTCTCCAGAGCCAAGAAATGAAAGAACGCAGCTAGGTCCTTCTGTCTGTCATTTTGACCCCTGTTGGTCCCCTTCTCAGGCAGTTCACAAGGCTGTGTGGCCCCTCATCATGCCCAGCTTCCAGGTGATCGTCACCCTACTCCTTGGGCAGATCTGCACACTGCAGGCACTCTGAGAAGATGTCCTAATTACAAGTCTGCCCACCTGTGGGACCAGGGCTCCTCCCCCATCCACCACCATCAAATGCACTGGCTGGTGACAACTCCATCATCCTTAACATGGGGAGGGGGAAATAAAAGAATACGTGTTCCACAACTTAAACAACACAGTGAGGAAACAATCTCACAAATCCAGAATGTGTTCTTCAAGCCAACTGGCCTGGATGCTTCAAAATACCAGTGTTGTAAAGATGGATGAATGAATAAATGAATGAATGAGGAAACTCTTCTAAATCAAAACAGACTAAAGAGATTTAAGCAAATGTAATGTGCAAAACTTGATTGGAGCCTGGTTTGGAAAAAAAGAAACAACTGAAAATACATGTTGTGAACAATTGCAGAGATTTGAAAGTAGATTAAATATTAGATGATATTATAGAACCAATGCATTAGAGTTTTTGGGGGGGGATGTGATAATGGCATTGTTGACATGTGAAAGAGTGTCCTTGTTCTTCAGAGACGCAGGCTGAAGCATTTAGTGGCAAAGTGTCAGGGTATCTGCAACTTACTTTTGAATAGTTTAACAATAGATAAAATATGTATATACACCTAGAAAGAAGCAAGCAACTAAGGCAAATTGTCAACAGTCATTAAATCTAGATGAAGAGTTTGTAGGTATGGTACAATTCTTTCAACTTTTCCGTATGTATAAAAATTTTCAAAATAAAAAATTGAGAGAAAAAAAATAAATGCTCCAAATGCCTGCCACGTTCCTCACTGTGCTAAGGGTTTTTGTACATTGCAACAGACCAGATAAGGTAAATAGAAGAGGATTTTTTAAGTCTATTTAGTTTGGGCAGGTATGTCATCATTCCTTTTGCAATAGATATGGCTACTAATTTTATTTAGGCTAACAGGAAGAAAAGGTTTGGCTTCACAACACAATTAATGACAATGGAATGCTATGCGCTTTCAATGAGGCAAGAGCAGGAAGGCTGGACCTAGGAGATTGCTACTGTTCGTCTGCAAGGTGTGTAATATCCCTGGGTAATTGAGGGAAGACTATAAAACATCTCTATGTTTTCTTGTGCAAAGCATGCTGCCGTATGTTTCCTGTATGTGTCCTTTCACATCAAGGTGTCAGTCTTGGACCCCCAAGTCCCTGGGAGGCAGGGGCAATATCTATCCAAGTCACTGCTCACCCCCCAGCATGACACTGTGGCGAAATAAATGTTTAACATGGAAACAAAACGTTGATAATGATGATACTGTGAAATGAGCATAGGCCTGACAGAAAACCAGTCAACACCCTGAAACCCCAAAATCTTGGAGGGCCTTGTTGCTGCTGCTGGTGACACTTGGCATTGTCTGTCCAGACTGTTACCCTTAGATCCTCCTCTTGGAGCTGTTCCATATACTGCAGCATCTGCTCCTTCTCCTGCTCCCTATGCTCAGCGAGCAGCGATCGCTCCTCCTGGTTCTTTTCCATCTGCTCCACAATGTGCCGTCTGCCCCTGGGAGGGAACAGTGCCACAGTGTCTTAAAAACCAAGGGTCTGTGCCCATCTGCTCCAACTTTCACCCAAATAACCCCCAAGATGGGAAGAATCACAGGAACAATTTGACAAGTGTCCCTTAAACACTGATATGCTTCATGGACCCAGAACAAAGTCCTTCCCCAGCATGTCCTGAAGGGTCGGCCCTCTTTCTTCTGAGCTCCTGGTTCTAGGGCTCACTTGTCCTGAGATTCTCCTTCTTCAGTATGTACAGTTTCTGAAATCCTACCACCTCCCAAGTCTTCCCAGAGTTATCGCAGGAAACTAGCTTCTTATGCTAGCCTCACAGAGCTTCACGGAGTTAAAAATAATAATAATAATAAGGCCGGGCGCAGTGGCTCATGCCTGTAATTCTAGCTCTCTGGGAGATTGAGGCGGGCGGATTGTTTGAGCTCAGGAGTTCGATACCAGCCTGAGCAAGAG